GGGTAAGTCAAATGATTTTATTATTTAAAAACACAAATAATTTTATTAATAATTAATAAAGGCAAAAGCATTTGGATTTGCCGATATAAAATAGGTGCGATAAAATTCTATTTATATATTTCTTTCCTTGCGAAAGTTTTTGTCCGTTTTTATCACGCCGCCATACCGGTCGCATTGTGCGAGGTGAGGTTTTACAGTGGACCAGTTTCCAGCGCCGTGCAGAAGTGTATTTTTAAATCAATTTCGAACTGACCTTTTTGATTTTTTCTTTACAAAATTGTATTTGTAAATCCAGATTTTTTTTGGATAAGTTCTGAATCACCCTGTATAGATTGTCGTATAAGGCTTTTGTGTTTATTTTGCGGTATTATGTTACATATTACACAACTTATATCGTTGACACTTTACATTTTAATGTATTTTTTAAATCTAGTCCAAGATTTGAGGACGTTCGGTTTCATTTTCTCTCCCGGTTCCACAGCCTCTCGCAAAAAATCCCCGGCAATTTAAATTTTGTTTAGAATCTCTTGACAGCTGATGTGGTTTTCGTTCCGAATAACGCCAGATACGGGCTCCTAGCTTTCAGCTACCTGTATTACGCTCATTGTAGAAAGCCGGCCAGTCACTTGAGTAATTTCTATTTACAGACTACAATGGCTGTATAGCGCTATCACAGTGCCTCAACTTGTTACTCGCTGGCTTTATGTTGCGTTTAGTACGAGTCACTCAGTTCGGCTTATCACGCATCTCGCCGACTTTCACTCATGGAAAATATGGGAACAATTAAATGCGGAAAATAAAAAATTAAACGAGCTAGTGCATATTTGGTCCTCGTGCGACTAAATTTTCTTAGTAATAAGATAACGTCTCATATAATCGGGAAATAATTAATTTTTACCACACTTTCAAATTGAAAAACAAAATCGCAACGAAGACGAAAAACGCCTCTCTGCCGCCATCAAAAAACTGTTTCCAGTAATCAAAGACCACCAGGAAACCTGAGACACAGCAAGGGAAACGAAAATACAAATTTTCGCTATACTTTCGAATTATGAAGTTAAGTTTTCTGTAGCTCCATGACGCCTGAGACTGTATTTTGCATACCCCAAGTCACAAAGGCAGTATCAAATCTACCACCACGATATAGGCGAACAGGTAAAAAAAAACGTCAGTTTCTAATATCATCAAGCGGGGAGCCGAGTAGCAAATATCACGGAGTCTACGAAGAAAGCGTTCAAACGTCTACTCAGGGGATGTTCATGTTGCCCGTCCTATGTATCGGTTTTGACACCTTATATGAGTATTTTTTAGCGAAGAATAAAGGAATTATTGACTTTCAATAACTTTTTTGTGTTTTTATGAGCTGTGGCTCTGTGAAAGTGTTATCAAAAACAAAATTGTGGCACTTTTTTCCAAAATATCCGTTCTATGGTACATTAATATCAATTTGAATAGATTGTAGGTGCTTACATGATTTCCATAAATAGTAAAATTTAAAAAAAAATGAATTCCCCTAGTGGAATTAGGCCTCCTAAGCCAATTAACATATGTTGGTAGTAATTAAAGACGAATCAACAGTCATGTGGAATAATGTGGAAGCATGGCATAAGAAATGGGATTAAATATGGCGGATAACTCCACCGAAATGTGCCTGTTCATTAGCAACTATAATAGAAAGGCTTGTCTAACTTTTACCTGACTGTCATTCTGATCATAACTAATTATATAATTACGTTTTTTTTTTGTTGGCCAGTCGACAGTCATTAGGCTGTGGGAGCTTACCGAAAAAAGCTTATTATTCGATAATTATTATGGTAACGCTGCGACGTGTCCGCTCTTCTGCAACAGTGGCGGGTAATGAGGAAGGTTACGATAATTGCGTTTTAAATACATTTTGATTAATGGAAAACTGTAATCAGTCACAAAGGGAACGTTCTCGATTGGACGAGTTACCAGTAGTCCAATTAACTAAGCCTTTAAATCGAAATTTTGTCAACTTGGCTGAATTTTTGATATGAGTTAGTTTAAGGTATATTATAACAATAAGTGAGAGTAATTTTTTGTTCAACCCCCGGCCAAGGGTGGAAAATGATAAAACAAAGGGCTTTTTCAAGATAACTCAAAAAGGGTAAGAGCTAGAAAAAAAAGTTTTTCATGAAAGTTGTAAAGCAGACAATTCTACATAAAAATGGTCTCTTAGCTTTTTCTTGTACTATTAAAATTAACAGAGTTAGGGAGGCTAGAAGTTAAGGGAAGATTTCAGAAATTTAATTTTGTTAAATCATTAAAATTAACGATTAAAAATTTGATTTTTTGTTATAACTTTCTTATTAAAAATTAAAAAATATATCTATTTCTCTGAAAAGAAAAGTTACATATTTTAGAGCAGATTGAAAAAAAAAATTACAAAATTCAATCATTTTTCTGTTTGTTATGATTTTTTTTAAATTTCTGAAATCTTCCCTTAACTTCTAGCCTCCCTAACTCTGTTAATTGTAATAGTACAAGAAAAAGTTAAGAGGCCATTTTTATGTAGAATTGTCTGCTTTACAACTTTCATGAAAAACTTTTTTTTCTAGCTCTTACCCTTTTTGAGTTATCTTGAAAAAGCCCTTTGTTTTATCTTTTTCCACCCTTGGCCGGGGGTTGAACAAAAAATTACTCTCACTTATTGTTATAATATACCTTAAACTAACTCATATCAAAAATTCAGCCAAGTTGGCAAAATTTCGATTTAAAGGCTTAGTTAATTGGACTACAGTAAAAAATACTGTAAAACTATGTAATGTGGTATTAAAATTATAGCGGAAGGCCCATTTGTAACTCTAAGATTTTGTACAATGATTAGATAAATGTGACGTTCAACTGTAAATCTAGTACTAGCCGTTATTATTGGCCACTGTTGGCAATGCCATCAAGCTCGCAGAGTAAGACCCTACCGAAAATTCACAAAGTTGTTCCTAAAGTGGTGGAATTTTCATGACTGTGCTTTCTGTGTCCGACCCTATTAAATCCCCCAACATTTTTCTGTACCTACGCACCTGTCTCGCGATGCAACGTCGGAAGACCGTAATTATGAAAAATTACGTTTAATCGCTTTTTCAGATTTTATTAGCGGTTCTTAATTTTTTGTTTTTTTTTTTAAGCAACACCCAGATGTTTCCCAATCCTGAAATTGGTACACAGCCGTCCTTAATCGAATCTCCCGATGCCGAATTTAATTATAATTAACATCAATAATTTATTTCTCCTTAATTTATTGACTAATTTGGTCATGAACAAAAATTATTTTTCAAGCAATTATCCACGTATTTTATTTTGTTTGTCCGAATGCTGTTAATGACGACCGTTATTACTTTAATTATGAGGCAAAACTAACAAAAAGCGGTTTAATGATAAGCATATGTCCCAAATTAATGATTCCGCCATAACAGATGGATGTTAATTGCTCAGCTCCGACGTTGCGACATTTTCGATGAAAGTAATCCACATAATAATACACCAATATAGTCATCAACAGAAAATGTCTTCAACAAAAACGTCTGGATGGTCTGGTAGACATTCAAAAACTGATATTTTCAAAAACCTAAGGATATTTAGATAAAATTATCACAATTTGCACTACGTTCTAACAATAATCTACATTCAAAACGATTTAATAACAATTGTTGACTATAGCCCAATGGTAATCAATTTTGAAGCTTAATTAAATTCAATTTTATTAATTTTTTACTATTTATCACTCCATTTTTGTAGCGAAAAAGCTATTAAAGTTAACTCTAATATAATTTTATATCAGCTGTGTAAAAGAGAGATGGACAATACAGGTCAATCACAAAATCGTTAATGAACAAAATAAGTAGCATAAGCCCCAATATTGAACCTTGTAGGGCATCCTGACAAAGTTGCAAAAACATTTGGCAGGTATTGAATGACTTCCATTACAAGTAAGTAACTAAAAAGAATAAATTTTAAACGTTCTTAATTGAAACCAAAAACAAGCCATACCTAAATTTTGCAAACTATTGCAAACATTACTTGTTTTCAATCTCCCAAACGCAGAAACATTGATCTTTAAACAAGCATATAATGATTGCAAAACCAGCTGGTTAAGCAGCAACAAAATAAAAAGAATTAATAAGCATGTCTAAAAAATTGCAACATCTGAAGAATCTACTTAACTTTTATGAACTAGGAGCTAGTTTAATCCTTCGTTTTTATGTACTATTGTATGTTCTGATGACGTCAATTTCAATTGTTTTGGTTCTTTTTACACGAATTTAACAAGAAGTAAGAAACCGCATTACTTTGACCATAGATGAGCAGGTAAATGACAAAACAATCATCAATTACACTATTTATAGATCGGTTAATACTTTTTCGCCCATGGGGTATTCCCCGCCAGTTAATTATCTGCAAGAAGCGATAATTAAACTGTGAGACTAAAACAAATTTACCACTTGCGCGTTTTGGAAGAGTGAGGGACAATTAATAACTGTCAACAGCTTTGACGCACAGGTGATGAAAGCATCCGAACTTGGCGCATATTATAACAAGAAAAATGCAAAATTAACTTCTGTGGTTACCCCCGTTGCGATGCATTTTTAGAAGAATTGCGCGCATGGTTTTATGTACAGGGTGTCAGCAAAAGGCATGGACAACGCGTAACCACAGATTCTCGATCAAAAACTAATAAATCCATGTTACTTTCTGCCTAAAAAGAATCCCAGTCACAGTACAGTGATCAATAATTGAAATTTTTAAAAAATTTAACTAATGAAAATTTGTGATAATACAAAAACAATCTACCAAACAACAAGTTTAGATAATGCACCATATTAACTGATATAAATTTCAGAACAGTGTAATAAGTATTAGATTAAAAAAATCAGTGCATATGAACGACGGATTAGTAAACTAATATAACATTCCGTCGAACCCTGTATTCAATTTTTTCTGACCATCCGCTACAGAAACTGAGAAAAGTGTTATGTACATACCCATTTATTGATGTTTGCGTCATAAACCATCCTAAGAGAGCTTTAACCAAAGAATGCCAAATTTGCGTGAGAACCCAGTCAGATTTCCTTTCCGACTGTTCTAAAAAGTTTATCGTGTCTTGGTCAGGCCCTAGTTGTACAAACTTCGAGGCCAGTGAGGGGGGAACTTGATCCAAGTCACAATGATACCACTGAAAAGGAAAACATATTTAGATAAAGAGGCCTTGTCTAGATTTAAAATAAAATCGGTAAAATATACATAAAGGTTCAGAAATTATAAATATAATTCTAAGTGTAATAAGATTCAGGGAAATTGTATCCAACTCGCGCCCAGGTCAAGTCAAAAAATGTTAGAAGAATCAAAATTAAAGAAATGTTGCGGAACGGCAATTTCTTACTATAATTTTTCAAAAAGGAAATATATTTCATTAACTGCTAACTGATTTGGTTTGGAAGACCATCCTACTGCTGTAGAATAATATAGAGCAAAGGATACTTTTATGCAAAGGAGCTCCCCAAGGTTCTATCTCGGGACCCCTAGTCAGTACGCAAGTTACTTTGATACTCTAAAATCCATATGAACGTAGATGATACACAAATTTATGAACTTAAATTAATTAATATATGTTTTATGGTCTGTTGTTCAACCCTTTGAAATCAGCAAAGCTAATATTTAGCAACAAAAATGAGAAAAATACACTTAGAAATGCTTTCGATGTAGAAATAGGCGTACAGGTCTAAATATATACAAAAAGCATTCACAGTTTTGAGATAATTTATCCCCATAGATGTTACCTGGATACTGGTACTAAGGGAGTGTTATAGGAGACTTTAATTTAATCAATTGGTCATCTTGTTTGGATGTAGGTTTTTCAAACATGTTTTTGAGATATATTTTCCATTTGATGTTTAATAATGTTTTGATGTTGTAGAATAACTATTAAATAAAACTGAAATGCCTACGTTGCGGCTAAAAATAATATTATTTTAATTTCAAGAAAGAACAATATAAGAATGTTTTTATTTAACATTAGAAGCAACACCAAATACTTGTTGTCAAGTGAAGATTGCCTAGTAAACTAATAATTCAAACAATTACTACACTTGTACAACATTTTTAAAGCTACATGTATTCAATTTCATTATTCCTTCTAAATTTAGCATTCTGAAATCTAAAAATACGCCTGACAAATACGTTTTTAGACTCGGTGAATGGAATTGTGGTAAATAAACAAATAAACAAACAGCTATCCCACTTTTTACTTCTGTGGTTAGTTCCATAAACGCGAAGAACTTTATAACGAGACACTTTTGTCTTTGACCTGCTCTGGCAACTCGAAGCTAAATGAGGCGATGATATTTAAGAAAAAACAGTAGAACATCACTTAGTGGTTTTATGGTACCGTAATTAAAATAGTGCGGCTAGAAGATGACTCGAAAATTTTTAAAACTCCCATTTAATTATATGTTTCAATAGTTCGATTTAAGCATGGAAGCTAAATGTATAGCTGCCAGCAAATCAAGCTCCTTGAATTATAATTGAAAATTGACCCGGAACAAATTTATTGCTGCACAGTTGTATATAAGGCGTAATTGTTTTCGATTCATACGTCTTCTATATCCGTCAGAAGGATAAGAAATATTTACAGGTGAAGTATTTTTTGTGAGTTTTAAGGTAGCTATGAATAATCATTCTTCACAACCCAGGGAAAACCGACAAATGTACTAATAGTTACAACATTTCATAATGATAAGCATTAGATTTTTAAAAATATTAAGAATTTATTCTTCGACTATTACTATATATTCAAAATTATAGGGTATACATGGCGGACGCTGTATTGTACGTATATTATAATTAAGAAAAAAATCAGTTTTTTGTTTTATATATAAGTATATTTTAAACCTTGTATTTACAAACGGAATAAACAATTTGATCCAAGAAAAAAGTTTTTCATTTGAATTACAAATTGTGACTCAAATTGATTCCTTTGTGAAGCTTTTTTTCTGTCGCTTATTGAAACAATAAATTCTACAACTGCCGGAAAAAAGTATATAACGCACTAAAGATATTTGTGCGTGTGTTTGCATATGGGGAAGCGTGTGTTATTTTTTCGCTTTGAAATCCTAATATATATTCTAATTTTATTCAAATAAAGCGCAAAACTTTTTAAATTTCTCATTTTTATGTGCGGCGCGAAATTTAGGACAAAAATTCGACAGCCAACTTTTATCATTTGAAGAATTCCAATAAATTAACGGAGAAGTCCTCTAACAAGGCGTATTGTTCAGAACTCGAGGAATTGTCACCCACGTACAGGACCGGGCTCAAGGAAGCTACATTTAAAGGAAGATTTATTTCTAGAATGACAAATAAGGTAGAACAAAAACAGCTGCGTTAAATTTATAATTATTTATAAAGTAAAAAGTACTTTACCGATACATAGAAGCTGAAAATAACCCTGATGGTGGCTCAGGATTAAATGTAAAACAATGAGCACTTATTAAATAAACAATATGTACGAATCTAAGATAAATGAAATACATTTTCTTCTATAAAATTCACTTCTAATTTAAAATAGGTATAATAAAACATTCTTCTCGTATTTTCAAGGGAAAATTTTAGTTTATACTTGAACTGAAAACACAATATAGTGTAAATAAAACAATAAGTAAAATAGGTCTTAAATAGTAAGCTACAATCTGGATGTCTGTGTGTAAAAGTTAGGCAAAGTTCAATATATGTAGTTATTATTGATGTATCTAAAGTTCGCCAATAATATTTAAAGATATGCCGAGAGATTTCTATAATTTACACAAAGACATATTATTTACTTTCCTCAGTATGTATTTGTAACATTATATTTATGTTATGTATTATATGCCTAGAATTTTTTCAAAATGGCCGAGTAATCTCTAGCCTCAAACTCGATCATACGAAGTTTGACATATTCGGTATCTAAAAATAAAAACAAAGGAAAATTATGTACTAAAGACTGCCAAACAAAAAAAAATCATAAACATTAAACATATTCCTAAATCATTAATCTAGACCCAAAACATAACCTCAAATTTATAAATCATAAAACATATTGTAACGAATTGGAAGTGTACACAAAGAATCACGAATGAAAAATTACCTGACCGAATCTTGGATCATATATAAAAATTAACTATTATTATAGCAACAACAAAATAGTATAAAATTGTTAATATAAAGATTCTGAATATAAAACTAGTAACAATTAAGGATATCACATAGTATAAAAATAAATAATTTTAATTTAATTCACAAGTACAAAATAAATTTTTCAAAAGAATGCATGACATCGACACTTGTTAACACTCAGTACATTGAGAAAACAGAATTTAAACCTAGAGTGACGTATATCAAATAAAAGCCCAAAATCTATAGATGAATCTGGTATACATATCATGAGAAGACGAGTAACTGTATAGAAGATATATCAATGGAACTTAAGTCATAGTATGAAAATTTTTATCAGTTGTCAAATTAAATTATAATTTTCACAAATGTCAAAACTAAAGTTGGCTTTACAAGTACATGGAGATGACCTATAAAAAAAAACAAAATAAGGAATATTTTAATAATTAGTGATAGAATTGTATGTTAAAATAAAAGGACATTTGTAAAAAATGTATTATTTATGTAGTGTAGTGAAAAGTGTTGTTAAAAAAGGACATTCAAGGACTGAAAATTCTGTGAAGGGACCTTAAGCAAAATTTGGACCAGAAAAATCCAGAAAGGATGAAAAAAAATGGTCTGGGTTTTTGAAGAATGCAGAGTAGAGACGCAGATCCAAGAAATTTAATTTTGTACAAGAAAGAGTCAAGTTAAGAAAATTAAACTTACCAGAAAAGTTAAAAGTTTGTTTGTTCTCAAAACCACAAGAAAGAAATTTGCCAGCAAAGAAAAAATTTCCGTTATCAGTTGTGAGCAGAGGTTTCCAGTGGCCCCATAAATGGTATACAGGACATCTACGTGGTTACCAACAAGGAAAAACGCAAGCTAGCAAATACCAGGTACCTAAAATAAAAATTAAGTGCACTATAAACAAAACAGATAGCTATAACCTATAAATAACACTTTTCTATCGCATCAAACCAAAAAAGGATGCAGAATAAACTATAGAACTTACCTGACTCAAAATAAATACAAACCAAACAATCATATTTCTAAAAACTTCACAAAATCCATGAGCTCGAACAAATTTATTATTAGGAACAGCCATGTTTAATTAGAGATGAATTTTCTGTCAGTAAACAAGAGATTATGCCCTGTAAGATAGGCAAAATGCAATACAAAGAGATGTATTAAAAATTGAATAATTTAAAGTAATTGCTAATAAAATAAAATTTTTCTTGAATTGACACAACTTTGGCAAAAATATTATTTCACAACAATTTTGACAAAATTATATATCATAACAATATATTGCAGAATGTCTTTTTGAAGCAATCATATCCTTTTTTTGAAGAAAATCTATTGTTTCTGGATTTTTAACTTAATTATTTTGGATTTGAGGTTAGGTTTTCAGGTTTCCTGGTCAGCTTCCTATGAATATGAGTTAAAGTTATGCAAAAATATTGGTTGCATACTCAAAAGTACCATTTTTAAGGATTTATACCCACAGGTTCAGAAAAAAATTGAGGATGTTCGTTTTAGGTTAAGATTTCTACCATTTGAAAATAATGAAATATCCCGTCGCCGAACAAAGAAGCATCAGATGGGGAGGCCTTGCGGTAACAGTCCGGCCCTGTCCACGCATCAGGCATCGTATTCGACGCGTGTGTGTGCGTCGTGAACACACACACATCCGAACTCGCTGTCCCAATCGGTTGATAAAAAGGCATAAGGAGATCGGAGTGACGGCGGGCTGAAATTTGCATTTGGCTGATTGGACTGGGATGATGGAAGGCGACTCCTGGGGCCCATCCATCACTTACCTGCGCCGGCGGAGAGCCCGGCTTACGTGTGCATCGCCGCCTCCGCGCGAAGTGACATTCCTTACACCACTTGCACCTATTAATGTCGCGCCTTGTTGCTACTCTCCACGTGAAATATGCGAGGGAGGAAATATTACGGATCGAATTATGGGGTGATTACTTTAGCCGCGCGCGGCCGGGCTGCCCCGCGATGTTTACAGCCTCTCCGCGTAAGTACATCGGG